TTCTCTCGCATGTCTTGGCGACCTGACAGCTTCGAGGCTCTCCCGACGTCAGGCTCACACACGTGCCTCAGCAACACGCGCGCAACCTTACACGCACAATGCCCTGGATGTACACATGTGTGCAAATTTGGCATCTTCTGCCTCTGAGATGCTCACATGCCAGGAAAGCTAGCGGAGCTAGGCTTGAGCTTGGTCTTGGCTCTGTCTTATAGGATGAGTGGGGGGGGGGGCAATATTGAGCGGTCCTCGGGAAGCTTCTTTGCGGAGGAGTGCAAACATTGTTTGATGGTAACCAGTCTTGTTCGTGGGTGCCGGGAGAGCGGTTGGGTTGTCAATAGTTGCCGGATCAATCCGGATTCCACTCGCAACAAGCAAGTACAACAGCAGCAACGGGCGCACATACTTGGGCCAGCTTTCGTTGGCCTCGGCTTGCCTGTTGCGTAGCTTTGGGTGGTTGATTGGCTGCATGCTCCGGCCTGGAATCAGCTTGGCTAGGCTGCTTGTTGTGAGGTCGGCCCTCTAGCATCTGATATACACTTACATCAACGCACACATGCCTGCGCCTTCCGGGCCACACTCGCCTTTGAAACCACGAAAGACTCCTCCTGACCCGCAACGGTCAGGCTACAGTCCAGCCGCTGGCAGTACAGATGCTGAAGGCCGTGCAGGAACTCCATGACCTGCGGCTCGGAGTAGATGGCAATGAGAGGTGCTTGTTGGAGTTACCTGGAGCGGTAGCTGTCGTAGGAATTGATGCATGACATCTGATAGTGATAGGGATACAACTCGCAAGTGCAGACGGGCCACTGAAGAGGATTCTTGAAGAGGATTCTTTCTTTCCCTTGCGGAGCCTATACAAGGACGAGCCATTGTCTGGAGTCCGATAATGTTGGGGTGGCGTTTGTCAGTCTCCCGGGAGTCCCCCCAGGATAATTCTGGTCACATGTTGTGATTTCTTCTGTGCCTCTCTTTTTGGGCCTCTTCCCTTTGTTGCCAGGGTTTGCGGTCTTTTGGAAGGCGGAAACTCCACCGGTCATAGTAGGAGTGCCTCAGTTTTGTGGCAGCTGCCTTCGGATTTACAGTAGTTGAAATGTGTGCCTTGGCTCTGAGATCTACGAGTGTCTCCAAAGCACTCCGCTAGCACGCCGATGTTGTGGACTTGTCTTTTTAGGGTATGCTGCAATGCGAAACTCGTTTTGAATTTCAGCATGTAGCTCTCGTGCCAATCGTATGGAATTGCTTTCATTCAGGCGGGGTGGGCATGATTACTGCAGTGAAGACTTGCAAGTGCACTTTCAATGCTCATCGGCTCTAGCTGCCCGAGCTCCTTCGCTTCTCAACCCCGGTGTGGACGTTTGGGGCTTCGGAATTGAGTTGGCCTTCGTCTCGGGTTCTTCCGTAACATCCGAAGGTCTCCAGCCCCATGCTGTGGGTTGGATTCCCTATCAGACGCCAAAGCCTCTAACAACCACTTGCAATGCGCAAGTTCCCTGATGTGCCTCTGCGTTCAAAGCCGAGTGGTAAATCTGAGGTTCAGGGATAAAGTTTGTGTAGGGAGAAGATAAGGCCAGCTAGGGGGCCTGTGTCGTAAGGGGCGAGTCAAATCAAGTGTCCCCCCTTCCCCTTTTTCTCCCTACGCAGCAAATCTCCGCCGCTTGCCTTGCCTGACAGCGTCTCCACGAAATCAGCTTTTCGCAATCTCAGGTCCATAGCACACCGAGATCTTTCCTGCGAAAACATCCTCGTTACTCAGGCCAGGGTGACAACAGCCGGATAAGTAGTAAATTTAGTAACCCCCAACACCTTACAACCTAGATGTTTCATGGCCCCTAGACTTACTCATCATTGCTGCACCGAGTTGAACATCGAAGCCATTTTTCGATTTATGACTTTGTTTCTTGTTGGGGGGGGGGGGGGGGGGGGGCAGTTGGTAAATCTGACTTCTTAGTTGGGGCTTTGGGAGGAAGGTCTGGTAATTCACGTAGGCCTGGCCAAGGCCGTGAGTTACTGCAGAGTCCGCTTTCCACGTGGCTAGTCCTCAGCTAGGAAAGGGGTCAACATCTGCCAAGGTTTAGGGCCTCTCGGGTTCCCGCGCAGGTAGACGACACGCTCGAAGTTCGTGTCATAGATTTCGCTGCCTCCTGTGGATCACGCTTCTCGCCCAGTATTAGGTGCTCGATGTACACATGTCCCGAAAGGTGACCTTGTCTTGCAGATCTGGGCTTTGGCTGTGGTTGTGGTTGGGGCTGTGGGCTTTAGGTTTGGTGATGGATTATGGCTGCTTGGGGCGTGCAGGGTGTTGGAGTTCTTGGCTTGAAACCTGATGTTGTTCTGAGCCAGGGGCTTCGGCTGGTGCTCGGGTGCTTGCATGCCTAACCATCATCCACACAGGGTTGGCAAGCCGATTGGCATCTACAATTTCCAGCATGGATGGTAGTAGACTTGTAAGGACAGCAGCCTGAAAGCGGCAAGTGCCCCTGTGCAAAAAAAGTATCCTGCACCAACCGAAGAAAATGCCAGTGAAAACAGCATAACCGAGAATTCCTGATTCTCCGTGCCGAAAAAGCATGCGTCTTCCACGAACAAAGTCCCAGTGAGGCATTGTTTCTACCTGATGGGTGGTCATCAAAGCCTTTAATGTCGAAGAACGTGAGGAAACCTACACCAATGGTGTTCTTGGCATAGGCCTTCTAAAGCAAACCACTTCTCTGGCGGGAATCGTCATCAGCTCATGCTTCATGCAGGCGTTGTGGGATGTCGTTCAAGCAGCCCCAACCTGATACAACCAGCTTAGCTTTGATAGCGTCCCCATGAGCAAAAGCCCCCCGCGTTCACGGCCGCCGTAAGCTTCCTTTGCACGCACTTAGCCTGCCGCTTGTTTTGGTCGCCCATGCCAACGTCCTTCTATGGGACGTGCAACGTTGAGCTGATGTTCCGTGATTACTTGAAACATTGCTACTGAAAGGCCTCCTGGCAACGTTCCCGGACTTGGTTCTAATGCTCAGACCCGATGCAAGTGGGTAGGTTAAGTCGTATCTTTTTGCGTAAAGTCGTATCTCGGGCGCGAGCACACTGGGGATTCGCGAAGTCCAAACCACTTGCACCCCTAAACCTCATTCACGCTGACAAAAATGTACACCCCTCCCAGGCGTGGGGTGACAAGTGCGTATATTGCATGTGTGTCGAGAACATGCGAGTGCGGCGCGTGCACATTGGGGGAGAGGCTTCAACATATGTCTCTGTGATGCGACTTTACGTCGGGTGATGTGACTTCGCTCGCAGCCGCGTGTGAGTGGAGAGATGTGACTTCACACGCAAAGATGTGAGTTAACCCAGCGCCTTGTAATCCCGCTTGCGTGCACGAACTTGGTCGGTGATGCGTTTTCCACCAGGCTTGTCGCGACATCCGGATTTCAAGTTGTTGCCGTAGCGCTATGGTGCTGCACGGTCCTGTGGGCAATGCCCTTGGACCCTGAATGGGCGGCAAGAACCGAGAATCCTTGATATCTCAGCCATGTGAAAGAGGTTTCTCTGAATTCGTTCTACAAGCAGATTTTTGACGGCGACATTAACTCGACCTGTCAGATTGCTCTTGACTTTTGTTGTGCATTTCCGTCTAGACGACCCCCCAGCTCGTACCGCCACCCCCCCCCCCCCCCCCCCCCCCCCCCCCCCCCCCCCCCCCCATACCCCCCCCCATCCCCCCCCAAGCGTGTACCCCATTTTACAACCAGAACCCCCATTTTACAACCAGAACCCCTATTTTACAACCTGCAAGCGTTTCGAGAACGCCCAAATTGCAACCAGGTGCATAAGCCTCTTGACAAGCCTATTGACTTAGAACGCAAAAACCTCAATCCTCCAACAACATCCCTTAGAGCAACCATGCAGATTTGAAAGTGAGCCTGGTTGCAAATTGGGCGTTCTTACTGTAAACTCCTGAAAGTTGGAACATTCTTGTCTCCATAACCCCAAAAAGTCCTTAAACCATGCTTCAACTGTCTGGAATTTACTGTAAGCCAACCCTATCCAAGAAAGCGGTTATTCTTCTTTAGCTTAACATGGACCAGGGTTGGGGAGTCATGAAGTGTTGGACCAAGTTTGGGGAGTAGTAGGGTTTAGGGCCTTAGGGTTTAGGGTTTAGGGAGTAATAGGGCTTAGGATCAGGGTTGGGGAGTAATAGGTTTCGGACCAGGTGTTTCCTGCACCAGCAGCCAGACACTGCGAAGCTCACCCGCCTAGCCACCTCTTGCGGACAAAACGAGGTGTCCGGAAGCCGCTTGCTCCCACACTAATCCGGCCGGCGCAGCCGCGTCTGGGTGCACATATCCCCATCGCAAAGCCTCCATCAATGATTGGGGGACAATGCAAACTTTCCAAGGCTCGCCCTGGATGAACTGCGCTCTTTGCGCAGGGGACGTGATGGGAAACTGACCCTTGTCAGCCGCAGCGCAACAGGTCTCATGCAAATCTGCAGGGACGTGGTTCAGAGGACCTCCGAGTGTGTCTGGAAGCCGTGCAACCGCCTGGTCGGCAGTCTTGCCCCTGATGCGCCGCGCAGGCTTGGAGCAGCTTGCGCCAGTGATATCATCTGGGTCTGCTGCAGGTGGAAGCTTAGCATCTTGCTTGCGAAGCTTACGTACTTCAGCCTCCAAGTGCGCTATGCGTAAATCCTTGGCGTCGCTTCGGAGAGGCACAGCATAGCGGCCCGGAGCCTTGGGCTTGTTGCCACGCACTGCCATGCCAACCGGCGTGGTGTCCAGCTCTTCTGGCAGCTTCACTTTGCCCAAGTAAACTTCCAAGCCCAAAGTGTGAAAGCACCGGCGAGGATGGTAGAATGCAGGACAAGTGCAAAATGCGACCTGATTGAGGATACCAAACACCCGACAACCGTCGGATCCAGTGAACTTTGCAAGCTGCGTGGCAGTGGTGGCTTTGCCTCGAGGCACACAACTACAAAGAGTTTAGGGTTTAGGGTTTAGGGTTTTAGGGTTTAGGGTTTAGGGATTAGGGTTTGGGGTTTGGGGTTTAGGGTTTAGGGTTTTACAGCACTTGCCTTGCCGCTGAGCGCAGAAGGCTTTGACAAGGGCTGTTGCAGAGACCGTGCTCAAGACTTTGCGGGCACCGACGTCTTCATCGCTCGGGTCTTCTCGCGGGCTGCAAACATACCAAGCCTGTCCATCCTGCTCAACTTTGCGCACAAGTTGGGTGCCAATGTGTGTGCTGAAGGCGGCGGCCCGCCGCCAAACAGGCCGCGGAGTCACGCGAGCTGCTGCTGCATCGAAGTTGTTGCGTGAAACAGCTTCGACTTGAGATAAGAGAAAAGCCACGATTTCCCCGATGCCGGCGACCACATTGCCAGCGTCGAGGCGTGTGTTCTTGATGCAAGCCTCTGCGGCATTGTTGGTGCTTGGGGCGATGGCTGCATTGGACGCCCCTATGTACCAGTCTGGCACCTGTGTGCCCCACTGCCGCGCGAAATATTCCGGGAAGTTGCGTTCCTCTTTGCCTTTGTCCAGCCAAGCAGTGCGCTCTGAGACAATGCCCGCATCCCATTGAGCTTTGATTGCCGCGCACCTTCAGGCTAGGTTGCAGGAAGGGAAACAGCCGCAAGAACAGCAGGACCTTCGCTGCGACTACGTGTACTAATAGCTAGTCTCGGATTACCCCGTCCTTGACTGGAAGTCCGCGAGAGTCTGTGCGCCTCGCAACACATCGATGTCGTCAGAGACCAGGTCCCAAATCTCATTCCTCTGTTCGGCCGAACCATGCCCATGCTTGACAATATAGTCCTTGCAGGCTTGCTTCACGTGGAAGTAGCACATGAGATTGGAGGCGCCAAACACCTCCGCTCTTCACCGTTTTGTTTGAAGAAGCACAACCATAAGACCCTATGACGCAAACCCTCATACGCATGGTCTCAGCTAACCCTAAACCCCTGCCACAGACAACAAAGCCCCGGTCTATAAGCTAACACTAAACCCCAGGCCCCAGACAAAAAACCCTCCAAGAGGCTGTCCTGGGTGGGCCTGGGGTTTAGGGTTAGGGTCTAGGGCAAAGGTAGGGTCTTAGCTAACCCTAAACCCCAGGCCCCAGACAAAAAACCCTCCAAGAGGCTGTCCTGGGTGGGCCCGGGGTTTAGGGTTAGGGTTTAGGGCATATGTAGCTAACACTAAACCCCAGGCCCCAGACCAAAAAAAACCCTGGGCCTGGGGTTTAGGGTTAGGGTTTAGGGCGAAGGTAGGGTCTTAGCTAACCCTAAACCCCAGGCCCCAGACAAAAAACCCTCCAAGAGGCTGTCCTGGGTGGGCCCGGGGTTTAGGGTTAGGGTTTAGGGCATATGTAGCTAACACTAAACCCAGGCCCCAGACAAAAAAACCCTCCAAGAGGCTGTCCTGGGTGGGCCTGGGGTTTAGGGTTAGGCATATGTGGGGTCTTAGCTAACCCAGCTAACTCTAATTTTCCAAGAACCGTCAACTTAGTAACGTTTAGATCCCAAACATGCCAAATCCAATAGGTTTACATCATTGGTTAGATCTTTCGACAGCAGGCCTCACGTAGTGACTTGCGATAAGCAGCCTCTGCGTCAGACATTGCCAGTTTCTTCCTTGTGTTGCTCCGCGTCACACGCGCAGTGCTATCGCGAAATCCCTCAAGCATGCTCTGAACAGTCTTTTGCTCCAGATTTGACGATAGCCCCAGCGCACAAAGTCCAAATTGACCTGCCTCATTGACATGGCCCAACACATGAAGTGGCCAGCCCAGCAAGTTGAATTTGAAGCCACCGTCCATTGAAGCAACACATGAAGGCTGATTGACCCATCTTTCCTGCAAAAGCCGTGTTGTGGCAACCATGGCTACTTTGTTTTTTTTGCCATCAGTGGAGACAGAGCTGTAGCAAAAGTAGCCACGGTCGCGGGCTGCTGGCAGAGCTTTGCGCTTGTTGATAGCTTCCCTGAGCTGTCCAATTTCGCGGCACCCATACACTTTCTTTACAAGATTCTCTTTGAGCTTCTGCACCTGCTTGAGCTGGACTTTTTTCACAGGACCAACATCCAGCAAACGAGCAGATCGCAAGGCTCTTTGTGGTCTGCTGGTGGCACAGTCGGTCAGCAGCTTGCTTACTGTTTTGCGCTCCTGGAAGTCCTCCCATCCCCTTTTGCCTTGCAGAACACTCTTGGAGTTGTGCTCAGCAAACTTCGGGTCGTCAAGTTGCAAGAGCTCGACTGAGTCATCCGAAGCCACCCGTATCATGGCAGACCAGTGGCACGGTGGTTTGGAAGATCGCAATCGGCACCTGAGAAATGTGACTTTGCCTGATGACTTGACCGCACGGGCAGCATGGCCTCTGCAGAACTTGCCGCAACCAAGATCATCATAACAGGCAGACTTCGAGGAATAGGTCTGTTTCCACACAGTGTACTTTGATTCCACGAAAGTCGCTGCTCCAGGAGTTCCATGTGCAGCTGGCCGCTTCATGCTAACTATGTTACTAGTATCTGAAAGTGGCAAAGTTTGTTCTGCTGTTGTCGTATACTGCGTTTAGTACTGAGGGCTCAGAGCACCAAGTTAACCCCAAGGTCACTATTAAACTTTCGCGGAGCCTAAATAGGCACCGAGGGAGAGAAATATACATATATATATATATATAGGTATATCTCTCTCTACATGTATATCAATCTGTATATGTGTGAATATATATATATACACATATATATATATATACATATATATATATACATATATATATACATATATATATACATATATATATATATACATATATATATATATGTGTGAATATACCTATAGATACACACATATATATATATATACATATACATATATATATATAGTGAATATACATATATATATATACATATATATATATGTGAATATACATATATATATATATATATACATACATATATATATATATGTGAATATACATATATATATATATGTGAATATACATATATATATACATATATATATATATGTGAATATACATATACATACATAGACAGATAGACAGATAGATAGACAGAGACCGGTTGCAAAATGGGGGTTCTGATGTTGTCCAGTTGCAAAATGGGCGTTCTCATGCTCAGAACGCCATGTCTGGTTGTAAAAAGGGGGTTCTGGTTGTAAATTGGGGATTCTGGTTGTAAAATGGGTTAATCTCCCCCCCCCCCCCCCCCCCCCCCCCCCCCCCCCCCCACCCTAAAAATCAACCATAAGAAATCAAGTTAACCTTACCTAACCAGTAACGTATGACAGTCAACCACGCCCATCTAACCTTAGTATAGTTCAACTACTTAACTTCGCCCATCCAACCTCAAACAACGGAATCTTCAACGAAGAGCCCCCCCCTCCCCCCCACCCCCAAAGAATCAATGCTTATAAGCAAGCCAACTGCTTATAAGCAAACCCTTCCTCTACACAAAAAAACTCTATAAAAATCAACCATAAGAAATCAAGTTAACCTTACCTAACCAGTAACGTATGACAGTCAACCACGCCCATCTAACCTTAGTATAGTTCAACTACTTAACTTCGCCCATCCAACCTGACACAACGGAATCTTCTGCAAAAACACTAAAAAAAACGCAGGCCCCACAGCGCACCCTTCTGTTAGGGTTCAGGGTTTAGGGTTTAGCGTTTAGAGTACGAAGTGGAAACCTTGCTCTCCACCGGCAAGCTTAATGCTGGGGCTGCGCACCCCAAAGCCCTACACAAGTTTGCGGGTGAAACTGATTTACGAAACAGTTTTGCTCGAAGTAAACAAGTCTAAATCTGAAATCCCTAAACCCTTAAACGTTCATCCTCACGAAGCGCGGGGCCACTATACACTATACCCTATATCCTATACCCTATGCTTAAACCCTAAACCCTAAAGCCTAAACCCTTAACCCTTCTAAACCCAAAACCCTTGTAAACCCTAAACCCTAAACCCCAAACCCTAAACCCTAAACCCTCTTGCCGGCCAGTGGCGAAGCTGCGGCTCGATCTTCCCGAGCGTAGCAGGTGCAGCGTCCTAGGCTGCGTCTTGGGGGTGCAAAGGGCTTCTAGTCGGGAGGGTTAGGGTTTAGGGTTTAGGGTTTAGGGTTTAGGGTTTAGGGTTTAGGGTGTAGGGTTTAGGGTTTAGGGTTTAGGGATTTTCCCCTTAAACTAACAGTCCTTCAGAGGGACTATAATGAATCGTGGGTACTAGAATACCTATTAAGGACTGTTGGCATAAGGTGGAACATCCCAATCTTCTGTCGTTATGTCTATGCATCCTGGTAATGTTTGAGCAGGGTCTGAGGAAATATTTCTGTGGAAAATCTGTGTTCAATGTGTGTTCCTGAAGAGTTGAAAAGCTGTACAGAACCTGCAGCCTTTAGTTTTGTTGGTTCAGAATGTGTGGAAAATCTGTGGAATATCTGTACTCTGAAGGGGGTTCGGACGCAGATCTCTCCCCAGAATCAGAAACCCAGACATCACCAAGCATTCATATTCATAATTCTATCAAATTACATAATACATATGGAAAAGACATTACATATATGTGTACACACACTATGTATGACATTTTATTTATGTGTAAATATACCAATTGATATGCACATATACACAGATTAAAAAGAGAGAGAGAGAGAGAGAGAGAGTCCCTTACTTCACACTGAAAAAGATAAGATGAGGGTCTACGGTGTAAGGTATATGGGTTGGGGTAGAAAACAACGGGCCCATGCTTCAGAACCCTTTAAGAAGGTAAAGGACTATATTAAGAGGCCATGTAGCTTCACTTAGAGACTCTTGCACATACTGCACATTATTATGCAAAAGCCATGTCAGGAATGCAAAGCTGAAGACATACGCGCACAGAAATCTCTCAAGCAGGTTTGCAGTACTTTCGCACGGGTTGTGTGCACTAAGGCCTCCGTCAACAAGCCGGAGTCTGCATAACCTACTTGGAGGTTCATGGTACTAATTAACAAATTACTTGTATCACTGCACTTGTAACTGTACTTCTATTCAAACATATTAGGGCACTTGGGGGCTTACAAGTGGGTTACAAGTACAGGTATAATTGGTTAATAAGTACCATGAAACTCCAAGAAGTACTAACAGAAAGTGCCCTTATTGCTGGTTGTTTTAAAAGGGGGGTACAGTACGACGGATTTTTGCCCGAATAACAACAGTGGCTAGTATTGAGTTTTGAGGGTACCTGTGGGCATCATGGTCTAGCTTGTACGGGCCCCAAACTCTAAACGTGCTGAGGAGTTCTGTCGCCCAGTAGCTTGCGATTCTGGCTTCTCTGGGCATGTGGAATTTATGGGGTCGAAAAGGGTTATAGAGTTACACGGCGCAGGTTCCAACCCAAACCCTAAACCCCTAAACCCCTAAGTCCAAAACCTCAAAGCTTCAAAAGCCCAAACCCTAAACCCCCAGCCCCAAGACCTTAGGCCGAGCATCTTCCATAGCAGGAAGGCGAGCGCGGCCAGTGCACCAACCGTCCAGAACCAGAGTGGGACCACCTGAAAGGGCAGGGCAAGCTTCAGGTTTGGGGGTTATATAGGAAACGGTGTTTAGGGTTTTAAGTTTGGTGTTTGGGGAGTGGGGTTTACGGATAGGGTTTAGGGTTTGGGGTGTAGGGCTTCGGGTTTGGGGGCTAGGGTTGAGGGTTTGGGGTTTAGGGTCTAGGGTTTGGGGTTTAGGTCTTAGGGTTCACGGTTTGGGGTGTGGGGTTTGGGGCTTAGGGCTTCAGGGTTTGGGGCTTAGGGGTTTAGGGTTTGATGTGAGCCTCTGCCACGCCCAGAAGCCATTATGCTAATCAAGGTTTAGGGTTTAGGGTTTAGGGTTTAGGGTTTAGGGTTTAGAGTATTTAGGGTTTAGGGGTGGTTACTTAACAAGAGAACCAACAGAAGAGCAAAAGGGTACCAAACCCCAAACCCCAAACCCCAAACCCCAAACCCCAAACCCCTCAACCCTCAACCCTAAACCCTAAACCCTAAACCCTAAACCCTAAACCCTAAACCCTAAACCCGAACTCCTCGGCTGGCCTGGTGCGGCTTCTGCTTCTCGACGACCTCCTGAACTAGCCTCGTAGAGTTTAGGGTTTAGGGTTTAGGGTTTAGTTAGGTCTAGGGTCTGAGAGTTCACGGTTGTAGGGTTTTAGGGTTTTATGGTTATAGGGTTTAGGACTCAGGTCTTAAGGTTTTCCTTCATGTTTTTAGGATTTTAGGGCTTTAAAGTTTAGGGCTCAGGGATTAGGACTCAGGTTTTAGGGGTTTACGGTTTTGAGGTTTTTGGGGTTTCGAGGGGCTTAGAAAAACACTCAAGCTACCACTAGGCTCGAGACCCCTCACCTAAACCAAAATGGTTAAACCCTACTTGGAGGGGTTCCGGGAAAACACACGGTTCAGGGTTTAGGGTTAGGGCTTAGAGGGCGTTTCTTGTAAACTGAGGGGTGCCCTCCAACATTTGTTCGGATGTGATTCGTCGGTTTCTCGGATTGTCAGCGCACAGGGCAACCCACATCGATGTAGTTGGTTCACAGCATGGCCATTATGGAATTTTTTTAGTGGACACCTCCCCCCAGCCGAATATGAAAAAAAAAACAGCCGGGACCTTTCAGTGTTTAGGGCTTAGGAATTAGTGTTTATGGAAATGTTTGGGGGAGTTTGACTTTCGGGGAAGGCAGACGGGGCTACTCCCAGCTCTGTCAGCACAAATTTGAGATTCGCCCAACGCCCTTAAGGCCCTACATGTTTAAGGGTTCAGGGTTTAAGGATTTAACTTGGGATGTTCCCCCTTGTACTAACAGTCCTTAATAGGGATTGTAATAGGGGGTGCTGTACTCCCTGTTATGGACTGTTGGTTGCGGGGTTTAGGGTTTAAGTTTATGCATGCCTCTTTTCGCACAGTCCCAAGCTTCGACCTTGATGCTCATCCCATTCCTTTGAAGTCTTTATGAGTATCTGCAGACCTTTCCTATCATATTGTGTTTTCTCAGGGCCCAGGATATCATTACCATTTCCTTCGGGAATGAGCGGGTTCATGTAAGTGCATTTTGATCCTCATTTGTTTGGGTGTTGTACTCTCTCTCTCTCACTCTCTCTCTTTGGTTTCAGATTGATAATTTCTCATCTTACTATTTGTTGATATTCCCTTAAGAACATATTCTAGGAGTAAACCTTTGGATCTTCCTTGGTCATTAGTTTCAAAGGGTTTCTTTGGAATTCCTGAAATCCTATATCTTGCCCCCGTTTAGAAACACATCTGGAAGGCCAGGGAATGCAGCCTTGGAAAAGGTTTGACGTTTAGGCTTATTGGCCTGTGGGTGAACCTAAACTCGCAGTTAAATGGGCATATGGGGCTTAAACCCTAAACCCTAAACCCTAAACCTTAAACCCTACAATTATAGGGTTCTTAAGGGAGGGAGGTTCATGGGGGGCTGGGTACCCAGGGAACCTTAGGGAAGCTTAGGGAGCCTT